GAATATCGATACAGTATCCGGAAATGAAACATCACAATATTTCAGTGTATCGATATTTTCTTACACCCCTATTCACGACTGGACCAAAATGCATGACTACTGTCTCCAACCACCAGTCAGAGAAGAACAGACACAGAGGAGGGAAACAGCAACACAGACAGAGGTACAGTAAAAGAAAAAAAGTCAACAAGCATGGTTTGTACATTTATTATCAGCTGAGCTGTGATGAAAAGAAAAATACTGTCAAATACCGTGAAACCGGTGAAAATGTTGAAAATACCGTGATATAAGATTTTGGTCATATCGCCCAGCTCTAACTGAGAGTAACTATGAACAGGTCAGAGGTCTGACCTCCAGACCTGGTGTCAGCTGGTCTCCTCAGACCTCAGCATGTTTCAGGAAGCAAGGCTCACAGTTACGACGACACGTCTTCACAAAGGCTTCACTCCAAAATAGGGTTGGGCCATATTGGCAAAAAAATTAATCACGATTAATTGTGGTATTTAGCCGATAACGATTAATTTGACGATTAATCCCCTGGAGTCCCTGGACACTCTTATGTCCGAGTCACATGACAAGTTTAGTGGGAAAGATTTGCTCTTTATAAAAATCTGTTCCAAATTGTGTCAAAATTACAGACTTCAGGCTACACATCAAATTTAAAATTGTGTTTATAGATAAATAAATTACAGAACTTTTTTTAAATATTCGTCATATTTGAAGCGGAGAGGAGCACCGACGGGACTGACCGGAGTAATCTCCAGTCTGTCGGCCTGCTGGCATCAATCCTATTAATCGTCAAGTGCCAAAAAATAATCGATTGTTTTTCTGACGATTAATTGCACACGATACGATTATGCTCAACCCTACTCCAAAAAACTTCAAATCCTGTGAAATCGACCCAAAAAGTTCAGCAACAGATTTCCCAAATCGTTACATCATGAAACTCCTCCATCTGTGGAGCATCATCATCATCATCATCATCATCATCATCATCATCGGTGACACTTTGATTTCTGACCCAGAAACTGTTTCTGACTGTCAGAACTCGCTAACAATGCCTCAGAAACCCGTCTGTTCTGAACAGAAGCATCAGACCGAAATCAGCAGTTAGACCGAGCCCGGCCTGATCCAATAATAGCCTGACCCGAAGCAGCCGGGCCGGGCCCGACCCGCTCTGCAGCAGCCATGTGTTCTGACAGCATCAACAGATCTGCTGTGGTCAAACTCAGAAAACTGAAACAATCTGCAGCAGAGAGGCAGGAAGAACCCACCTGCTGGTTCTGGACCGACTGGGTCTGAATGAACTGGACAGTACGGGAGCAGCTGGTGTTTGATGGAGACCCAGTTTGTTTCAGGTCAGAACAGGAAGTGTTTAAACTCAACACTGTTTAAAAGAATATAAAGATAAAAGTTTTATTAAACAGAACCGAAGTCCATCTATCCCTGAAAAAAATCAAAAGGTCTGAGGAGTTCCACAAGGTTCAGTTTCAGGTCCAGTCTTGTTTAAAGGGGCAATATCATGTAAAATCAACTTTTTTGAGTTTTATATCATGTTATAATGTTATACTCTCATAAAAAAACATGTCCAAAGCCTTGCTTTGACTCATTCATGCATGTTTGAGAAATCCTGCAGCGTTTTTAGGAAGCCATGCTGAGGAGCAAAACGACAGGTGGGGACCAGAAACGCCTTTTGGAACCAGAAACGCTTTTGGGACGTGTCTTTAAGCCGAACTTCCTCATGGCAGAGCACCCCCCCCACCCCCGCTCCGCAGCTCCGGCAGGTAACGTGCTGAAATGGGCGTGAGCGAAGTGGTTGGATTTTCTTAAAGGGACAGAGACCTATTTCAAGGCATTTATAAACTGTCAAGATGAGAAGTAAATTTTTTGGGGGATTTTTACAAATATATAACTCTTTCATAAGCTGAAAATGTGACATAGTTACTTAATTTTAGTATAAAATTGAAATATAGGTTTGGAAAGCACATAATATCGTCCCTTTAACAGACACCAGGTCCATTTCTCTAATGAACTCATTTAAGTTCTTTATAATTATAATAAATTAATAATAAAAACTATTTGCTGAAGTTAAATTCAGACAAAACAAACTAGGGCTGCACCGAATAGTTGAAATAATCGATGACGTCGATTATGTAAATTTGTTGACGCAGATTTTTTATTATCGATTCGCTGTATTACATAACCACCACGTGAATGTTCATGCAATTCCATTTC